CTCTAAATTCCTTCTCATGAAAGCTGTTTCCTTCTTGAACACAGCTTAGGGGTCCCATAGCTTTAGCTTGTGTTTAGGGGTCCTGTTACACAACATAGTAATATCGGTGTCTGGAAACCACCCTCCAGGTGGCTAGGGATGGCCATGTGGGAATATCAGATTTCTAGTCTCCTATCTCCTCTCTACTCCTGTGCACATGCTCACTTCATGAGAAAAGAGCAATTCCAAGAATGGTTAAATCATTTTCTTCCAGACTTTCTTGTGCTCTCTTTGTGTGGTGGGTGGTAAGGCAAATTCGCATATGCTAACTGTGAGCATGATGTGGCTCTTGTGTACAGTGAAACATACATCTCCCCAAGTCCCCAGGATCTGGAAATAGGAGTGAAGGAGGAAAGAGAATCTATGTAGAGAAGAAACCTTGTTGTTTCATTGACAGCAAAACACAGAGGAGGAAGGCACAGGTTCACCTTCCACTGGCCAATTTTTCAGGTCTCAAAAGAAAATTTGTGGGGAAAAGGGCAAAAGAGGGGGAATCCAAATACCTCATAGATCTGCTCTGGAATTTGTCCTAATTTGACTAGAGGGCTAGTAGCAAACTTGAGTGAAACCACAGGAGCCAGGGCAAAAAACATTTTAATCTTTTTGGCCAACTCAGGGATCCGTGAAAATGCTATAAAACCTGTGGAAACAAAAGGAAAACAATAGGAATTGCACCTCTGGGACTTCTTTCTTGGAAAAAAGCAAGGGTGGCATTCCTGTTTCTTCGTAGTCAGAAAACCACGCCAGGTATATCGAGATCAGGAGGCAAAACACTTGAAATAGGGCCTTCTGGACTTCGACGTGTGCAAACACTCACTTTTTTTAATGAGTTAATTCAGAATTTGTTAAGTGCTTGTTCCAGTCTCAACTTACACAGGCACTGGAAGAAACCCAGGCTGTGAGAACCTGATCTTCCCTGCTCCTTAGCAATTTGAATCATGCAATGGTAAGACTGCATTCCCAACAGCTACACAAACCTCCCTCGTTCCCCACTGCCCCTTCCCTCCTCCCTAAGACCCACTTACACAGGCATTCAATCAAATCAGTGGCTCAAAAGGAACATTTAGGCGCTCTGGTGGCATAGTGCCTAAGGCATCTGACTGCTAACCAGAAGGCTGGTGGTTCAAACCCACCAGCCACTCCTCGGAAGGCAGACAGGGCGATCTACACTTCTGTAGAGATACTGCCTTGGAGACCCTGGGAAGGGTCACTATGAATCGGATTTTAACTTCCTTTCAGGTTACTTCCTGCCCTAAATTCGACTCCACACAGGAAAACAACTCATGGAAGGAGGAATACGCATGTAGACGAATGCTTACATCATTCATGAGAAATGAAAAGTGTATCTGAGTTGCTTTTTGCTTTTAGCCTCTCAAATTGGCAAAGAGCGTTTGCTAGTAGTAAGGGTGAGGCAATTATCTGTATATACACACACGTCATATATATCCAAACGCTTGAATGACACTTAAAAACATTCTTTCATTTGATATAGCAATTCTCCTTCTAGTAATTTATTCTAAGGAGATCATAAAACATGCACATAAATACATTAGTTTTGTTGTTGTTGTTGCC